TTGACCGTCACATTATAACGCCCCCACAGTTAAATGGGCGAGCATGTTTGGTGTGACGGGGATTCGAACCCCTAACCACCTGGCCATGCCGGGCTCCTATGTATTTGTATTCATTAAAATGTGAAGTATTCGTATTTGTATTCGATCACTGATTTCCAGTATTCGCCCTATCCCGTATTCGATCACTGATCTCCAGTATTCGCCCTATCCCTGGATATCACTTTCCAATCAGGAAGAAACACGGTGAACTTCCTTCTCTAAGTTATATATTTAGAACAGTTTTAAGAATGAAACGTCAGGATACTCATGTTTTCTAATTATCTAAACAGGAAACGTTTCCTTTGTCTTTTTAAGCGTTTAGGAGCGGAAATGGAAAATCCACCCAAAGCTATACTTTACGTTTGTGTAAATACTGCCATCTAGCGGTCGTATAGGGTAGAAAACAGAAATTGCGATTATAATTATCGATATGATTATTGTGATATAATATTAAACAAACTACCTATCACTCTTGTGATGATATTTATAAAAGTTAGTCCAATCGTCTTAATTGAAGATGACAGAAAATTATTATCAGTTTACAAATTCGTTTTCAGAAATATATTTAATAAAATATTGAAATTTCTAGGAGTCTCTGACAAACCATTCTTGACGAAAAAGTCAGCCCCCCCCCCCAGTGGCACAGCGGCATGTCTGCGGACTTGCAACGCTAGAAACCGGGTTTCGATACTCGTGGTGGGCAGAGCACAGATAGCCCCATTGTGTAGCTTTGTGATTAACTTTAAATAAAACAGACAAACCGAACAACTCAATAATAAATAATTTTCAATCGAGTGATGTCTTTACAACGCATTAGAACAATGCGTTATGGTCCTGTAGATCATTATCAAACATGATCATACCGTATTTACTAAACGCGTTGTAAAAGTTTCAGGCTATCTGTCAACATGATCATAACGTATTGACTCAACGCGTTATCTAAACAGCCAATAAAACTGTTGTAAGTCTTGCTAGGTCTCATATTTATGTAAGCATATCAACTATATTATTCTTCAAATACGAGGCCTAGCAAGAATTACGACAGTCTTATTGGCTGTTTAGATATCGACGATTTGAATCAATACGTTATGATCTTATAGGTGGTCTAATGCGTACTCAGACATCGACAAGACGCTGAGTCAATTGGCTAGCTATCCATAGTGCCATAAGGCCCAATATGGTAGCCAATTGACCAATACGTTAAGGTCTCAGTGGGTTGCTATAGGAACCTAACCTGTTAGTGAATCTTAAGAGGTAGACACAAATGATATCTATGCAAGTATAAACATATACATACATATATATATATATATATGTAAGCAAATAAACAGAGAGGAAATTAACAATAACAATTACAGCTGAGTTTTAACCTCACGACTTCCCAATCGGAAATATTCGGAAAAATTCGGATAATAAAATTACTACACGTCAATATTGTAAGTATAAACTCAATAAACAGTCAAAGTTGTTGTTACGTGCAAAGACGCACAGTGGGACTATCTATCTCTGCTCTCCCTACCGCGGGTATCGAAACCCGATTTGTATATTATAAGCTTCATAGAGGAACCGCAGAACCAGTCGGAGTTGACTCGTACTACGATATAGTGTAAACTTAAAGGGCACGTGAACTTACTTTCGTGCACGAGATCCTAAATGTTGTCGTACTTTTCCTTCGGAAGGTTTTTACGTGAAAATTCGGAGGCTTTCATTTTCCAACGCGTTTTTTCATCTTAGGTGTTGTGACTGAATATAATTTGAGTTGAATTTAAAAGTAAGTTTAATTTATCCGAAAATTAATACTGCCGTTGTGTGTAATTGTTAGTTATTAAAGCACAAAGCTACACAAAGGGCTATCTGTGTTCTGCCCACCACGGGTATCGAAACCCGGTTTCTAGCAGTATAAGTCTGCAGACATGCCACTGTGCCACTGGGGCGGGATGTGTGTAATTGTTAGTTATTAAAGCAAAAAGCTACACAAAGGGCTGTCTGTGTTCTGCCGCCACTGGGGCGGGGGGCTGTGTAATTGAAAGAGACGGGCTAAGGGGAACGAACATCACTCTTGTAAGAGTAAATTAAAACGTAAATTAATATGGCGATTTTTTCTCTCAAAGCAAATTGAACGATACAAGAATAAAAATGTAATATGAATACTTCTTGGATGATAAGTAAGTTTATTTCCTTTGAGTTTGTTAAATCACAATCATCTTAAATGCTTCTTTGTTTGCTGAATTTCGCGCAACGTTACACGAGGGTTATCTGCGCTAGCCGTCCCTAATTTAGCAGTGTAAGACTAGAGGGAAGGCAGCTGGTCATCACCACCCACCGACAACTCTTGGGCTACTCTTTTACCAACGAATAGTGGGATTGACCGTCACATTATAACGTCCCCACGGCTGAAAGGGCGAGCGTGTTTGGTGTGACGGGGATTCGAATCCGCGACCCACAGATTACGTGTCAAGCGCCCTAACCATTTGGCCATGCCGGGCTGGTGACTCGGTGATCTGAATATTCCAAACTGTTTTAATATAACATATTTAACCCTCTGTAATACGTTCTGGTTTCTACATTTTAATCTTAATTCTATAAATAATATTGCATAATAATTCATAATAATTGCGAGTCGAGCGCTCTCTAAACACGTGGCCATATCGGGCCAAAAATATAAGGAAATACATCGACGTTTTTCTTACAAAAGATGTTTCAATTCTCTAGTTTATACCTGATTATTTTATTAAATCTACTTGGTTCCGATCGGACTAGTAACTAAATCCTTGGAAAATTTCAAGATTCCATTTACCAAAACTGCTACAAATAAAATTCAGCTCGCTTGATTTCTTGTTACCAAAACTGCTACAAATAAAATTCAGCTCGCTTGATTTCTTGTTACCAAAACTGTTACAAATAAAATTCAGCTCGCCTGATTTCTTGTTACCAAAACTGTTACAAATAAAATTCAGCTCGCTTGATTTCTTGTTACCAAAACTGTTACAACTGAAATTCAGCTCGCTTGATTTCTTGTTACCAAAACTGTTACAAATAAAATTCAGCTCGCTTGATTTGTCGTTACCAAAGCTGTTACAAACAGAATTCAGCTCGCTTGATTTGTCGTTACCAAAACTGTTACAACTGAAATTCAGCTCGCTTGATTTCTCGTTACCAAAACTGTTACAACTGAAATTCAGCTCGCTTGATTTGTCGTTACCAAAACTGTTACAACTGAAATTCAGCTCGCTTGATTTCTCGTTACCAAAACTGTTACAAATAAAATTCAGCTCGCTTGATTAAAGCTGATAGTTTTTTTATATAACAATTATTATCATTACAAGATATTTTAGTGTTCGAAGACAGAAACAAAGATGGGAGAAGGCGTATATTTTTTATGACATAAACCGAAGTCCTAAAATCAAATGTTATTTATTTTGGAATAGAAATGACTAATTATTGTTTGCCTTAAGACAAGAAAATATAAATACAAGCCATACCTTTTTTTTCAAAATTGATTGTTGTTAAGCGTAGAGCCACCTAATGAACACACATTTTTTGTTTGTTTGATTGTTGTTAAGCGTAGAGCCACCTAATGAACACAAATTTTTTGTTTGTTTGATTGTTGGTAAGCGTAAAGCCACCTAATGAACACACTTTTGTTTGTTTGATTGTTGTTAAGTGCAAAGCCACCTAATGAACACACATTTTTTTGTTTGTTTGATTGTTGTTAAGTGCAAAGCCACCTAATGAACACACATTTTTGTTTGTTTGATTGTTGTTAAGCGCAAAGCCACCTAATGAACACATATTTTTTTGTTTGTTTGATTGTTGTTAAGCGCAAATATATATATATATATATATATAACATACTGCTGTTGACAATTTGAATCTCAACGGCAACTTAAATAACACATGACCAAACGGTCAAGCCAGAGAACCGTAGGGTTCAGGTATAGTCATCCCCAGTTTTAAACTACTGGCCAGAGGAAAGGCAGCAAGCTAGCAGCAACCGTCGTCACAAGGGTTTTGTCCGGCTTTGAAAGGAATAATGGGAGTGACTGTCATTTCAACAATACTTTATTTCACAATCTCCGCGTAGCCCTAAATATGAACAGATAAAGTAGAAGGAAGCCAGCTAGTCAACAATACTCATTGACAAATTTTGGGCTAATCTTGTCTCACCGAATTGACCGTCACTCTTGTAGCGCACCCTTACTCCCAAAGTGCGGAGCGCGTTTTGTTTTCGACAGCAGGTTGCAAACCAGGGAACCCTCAGATTAACAAATTGGGCATACTAATATCTTGGCTATGACCGGGCTATCATTTCGGATCGTATTCAACAGTGTAACGACGTTAACCTCGGACCCCCAGTCCACAGCTTGGCATGCTAAATACATGGTTACGTCCGTCAGTATATTTAAGAGTACTTGCTTTGAGATGATAAATTATAAGAACCACAGGGATCAGATGCAAAGACTGAACATCTATGTCACTCCCCATTCCCCGGGAGTCCTAAGAATATCTTTCGGGTTTGGTGACAATCGGCTCCCCAGTTATAGGAATACTTAAACGCACGCGCAGACTCGTATGTCTAACATGAAGAAATTTTGCATCCAAGGGCGCTTAAAATTTATTAATGTAATTCTGTTTTCTGATCACCTCAGCATTTCTACGAGTTTCACTGATCTTTTCAGTTTACCGTTAATCACTTTGAGATATCGTTTTAGGTGCAATAAATAATATTGTTTAGTTTAATTTAACCATATTTTTCTTATACTCTAAATTAAAAATTAAAATAATAAAAATTATTTTATAGGGACGCAAGAGGTATGATTATAATAACTTTTGTATGTAATAATAAATATATAGATATATATAAATTTTCGTTAAGTACAATTATTAAAACAGTGTAGATCTAAGAAGATAAATATTTGATTGCAATAACTTTTGATTGATACAGTATATTCGTTTTGTAGAAATGTTCAGACCGGAAAGTTTCTAACAAAAACATCTACACGACATTTGCTCGAACATTGCCTCCAAGTTCGAAGGTCTCCAAGTATGTAATTTCCCTCTTGAAGCATTTTAAGTGGAACAAAGTCGTACTGGTGGTGTCTGAAAACCACTGGTATAAACAAGCAGAAGAAGCTCTGGCTGTTCTTGCTAAAGACAGTGACATAGAAGTCACTAAAACGTACTTTATACCAAATTTTTACATCAGTGGAAGTCACGAAAAGGATATAAAAAAAATCATCGACGAATCCTTCATGATAACGAGAAGTAAGTGCTCTGATGAGACATCTTTATTTATCAGTTGTTTAAAGTGATTACACTCATTGACTTTCTTTGATTGTGAGTCTTGCAATGACCGTGTTTCCTTTACTATGACCCTAAATTTTGCACTCACTGCGAGCATCATTGAATGTTTTTACGTACCGTTCGTATATTGCTCTATTTTAAGTAAGTTTATGTTTGTTGTTTTTTTTACTGTTACAAAACCCAGTTTAAAGATAAAATATATGGGGAAAAATTTTCAAATTTTCTATGTAAATACACAGGAAACCATATCAGTAATTAGTAGAACTAACTGAAGTATTGAAAGAGTATTTGTTTAACTGTGGTTTATTTGTTATTAAATTCTTTGTAACTAAAAGGTATAGTATCACGAACAATTGGGTGCATAAGTAGTTTAAGTTTTTTAATTGTTTTAATTGCAAGCTGTCGGTTCGGTGAAATCGGGGATGGATTAAAGAAGGGCTTAGCGTTTTTTATCAACTTTTAGTAGCCTATTGTATTTTTAAACTTTTGATTATAGTATCTTTGAAAGATACAATGAAATTCTTGAACGATATATATATATATAT